AGGTATTCATTACTAATGATATTGAACTTTCTTACACGAATTCTAAGATTGGTAATCTACCTGTATATCCACGTTACAGAACACAAAATAACTAATAAATATATATAAGGACCTTAGTGTTATTTTTAAATACAAGTTATTTTTGATATCACCTATCTTTACAGTAGGTAGTAGAATATTCTTGATACTAAAATGATTACCCGATGAAATTGTATGTATTTTGTGTATATATTTTTTTGTTTGTTGTGAATTTGTAAGCAACCTAAATTTAATAAACTATGTACCTTATTTAAACCAAAAAACACCAATCACAAAAAAAAAAGAAAAACAAAATTATTTACGCTGTAATTTCAATAGTATAAACTAATGAAAAACAACAAAAACAGCCTAATATTAATACCAAAATTCTCAATTATTATGAATATTATGTATTTTCACGAATGCTGTAGTTTATGTAAATATTGATGTATTGATTATAAAATATGGAATTACGAACTCCCTTGAGTATTTCAAAATCTCTACTATAATACTAACTCATTCAAAATGATTAATGATTTTTATTTTTTGGCTTGACTTCAATTACTTTTTAAATAAGAGTTCGATACAATAATGCATCGAATGTGGGATGTTTATTTATTATATTTTACTTACCTAGTACCACGGTCGTGTTCCTTCGCCGGTTTCACTTTATCAAACAACTTTACCCTCTTTACCAACACGGTTTGTTCAGTGTTCTGACCACCATTTGAATTATTAAGTAGACGGCGATGTGGTTAAGTTTTAATACGCACGAATGCATAACTATTATCATTTGAGCTACTGTATATATGTGCGATTTTAAGCCGTCATGATGTAATGGCGGTTGATACCCTGGTCCGAGGACAAGAGAATTGTGTGTGTGGAAACAGCACCGGAATTAATCCCAAGTGTTAACTCTGGGGTCTATTTAACCGTTATTAAGGTTACCTGAAATAATAATATACGACCATAGGTACCATATACATTAGTTATATAGGTATAAACCCTGTAATTGCGAAAGCGTGATTTTTGGTTCCCCAAAAATAGGTTTGGATTAAAAACTATACGCACGAGCAGTGGCGTACTAACAGGTGTGGTTTTGCATATAACCCTCCCCCCTCAATAGAAAAAATCATTTAGCCGTGTAATTTTTTCCTGAAATCTATTTTATTTAAATAATTAATTTATCTTTTAATCTATGTATTTAAATATAAACTTGTCATCTTATATTTAATTAATAATTCCTAGGGTCTTAATATGTTGTCAGTTACTTTGAACGCAATTTTTAGGGGCTGGTTCTTAAAAATCATCGGTTCTGGTTCTCATCTGGTTCCTAAAATGTTACTTTAGGTTATCAATACCGGTTCCTATACCTTTTAATTTTTAATCATTATCAAAAATAATAATGCATTTATAAAGAACTTTATTAAAAATAATTTTATTATATAATAACATAACTAATAATCATAAATTAATATATTTTTTTTTTAACTTATAAGTTCATATAATTAGTTAATCATTTATAAGTAAGTTAGTAGATTATCACAATATCTTCAAAGCATGCTTAAAAAACTTCAAACAGTGTGACCACAAGAAAAACCGGAAAAACCGGTACCGATAAATAATCATGTCTTGTCGGTTCCTTCGATTCTCAAAGAACCTATAGAACTGAAGAACCGAGAACCGGTACCAGTCCATCAATAAAAGCAATATAAATAAACCTTACACTTACAGTGCTTGTATAATATCGCACCAACTACAGTATTTTCTGTGACTCATGTGTGCCACACCTACGATATTCGATTTTAATTTTAATTTAATTTTGGTTGACACAAAATTACATTTTTCCCTATGTAATAGTTATAGTCATAATCATAATATAAGTATATTAAAATATCATATTATAGTTAAAGTCTGCAAAGGTAGCATATATTGGTCCTTGTCGACGGAATTCTATTAATTATATACCATTAGACCATTTTATTTATATACGTATTACAAGGGAAATAATTTAATTGAATTTCCTTGGCAAAATAGTGTTTCGAAATAATCACGTTGGTACTTGGTACAGTCTAATTTATATACAACCGTAATGGTATAAACCCATTGCGTAGTGCTCACGTTATAGCAGTTTAAACTTTAAAGTTTCTCAATATGTAAACTTCAGCAACGGCTGTTCTTAGAAGCATTGAAGCCAAAACGACTATAGAACGAGTTAAATCCTTTACTGCACATATTATATTCAATATTTAGCGATATTCATTTGCACCCATTTAGACATTAAATTTAACACAGCAAATTATAAGCACACGTAAGTAGAATTCTCTGTTAATTTTACTTTTGAAATAAATATTCAAGTATTTACTTCGAATAAAATAATAGGTAGGTACCTACATGGATTTTAATTTCAAACTCACCTAATTGATAACTCGATATTAAAAAAAAATACGAATACAATTCTTATCGTTATTAAATATTAACGATGGTTCAGGTTAGTAAAAATAAAAAAAAATGGTTGATATATTAGTTCATAACAAAAATAATAATAAAAAAAATTAACACAAGAAACTACTTAGATAGTTATTTATGAGCGAATACTTAATGAAACACTTTCTTTAAATTAATTTACTCAATATCAGGGCCAATTTTATAACCATGATTTAGTTGACAAAAGTTATCTATTTTATTTTTTTATTATGTCATTTTACTGGTTTTAAACAATACCTACTTATTATTCTACTTTATTTTAACAATTGTAATCATCCACAACAAATTTGATGTTTCAAAGGTATGAAATCTATATAACTTTACATATAAAACTAATTTCATAATAATTGCCACCATAAATAATGGTAGGTACCAACATAGATGTGGAACCACTTGTAAAATAATTATATTGAAAATTGATATTAATTTATTTATAATATTTCAGTTTCCTATGTCGAACTCCATTAGTGAAACTTATTTGTAACTTTCAGTTAACATTAAAATATTTAAAGTTTTATGTTCGATGAAAATTGAAAACAAACAATTTAAAATGTTTTTTTTTTATTGTAAAAACAATGTTTGTTACTTTCACGAATAAATATGTATAATAATAACATTTTTTTTATCAAATAACTTTTTTTAAATTTGTTTTTAATTGGCCTTGTTTTAGACTCCTATGCTTATATATAGATAATATTTTTTAGTCACGTTATATCTGTTAGTGAGATGTTTACAATTTGTATTATTATTATGAATACCAATACCTACTGTTAGTTTTTTACAAAAAAATATGTTTCCTTTAAACCTAGAGTTCTGCCTTTGACCATTGTCATTGTTTACCATAGTTTTTCTGCATGAATGCATGAACAACCGATTTGATGGTTTTTTTTTTTTAAATTCTATTATACATCAATAGAGTGAAAATAATAATACTTCATAATATTATAGAGTAAACGCAGTATTAATTAATATAATATATTTTTAGCTACAGGTATTAAACAACAGTGATGTTATTATACGTGTTGTCCGTCATGTTAATAACAATAATTCGAACTTAAATAATTTGATTAGGCAGTGTATAACATTAATAATATTGATTATACTTTATTGTAGGCTCGTAAATTACGTTCAGAAACCGGGAACATAGCAGGCTTTGAGGGTGTGTTTTTCGTACCATTTAAAATTATTATTGTTGTCGGAAGCAATGAATTGTTAAGTAACACTAAAATCCCCAAAGACAGCTTGGCGTTTAATGCGTTTTATTATTGAATACATTTCCTGTTGTTTATTTATAACCATATAATAATAATAATAATAATAAAAAATATTATTTAGTAGGATATTGGTTTCACCTAAGCCGTTTACTGCCAAATATCAACACTGCTGGTATCCATAAACTTCTTAATAAAAGTTTTTATAACTTGTCCCCGCGGAGAATAAGAGGCGTAAAAAGGACGGAATACTTCTGTCGTTAAAACTTTTACTGTCGTAATAGAAACATGTTCATTTCAATTATTTGTCACAGTTGGCTACAAAGGAAAAACTACGAAGAGTCACAACCGGAATTTGAATTAATTATTACGTATATTCGTCAGTTTTATCTGTCGTCGAATTGTGTCAACATTGAGTCATAAAATTATAAATTTTTGTCTCTAAAATATGTGTGAATAATATTAAACTCACATACAAAAGCACAATATGAAACTTGCACACAAAAGCATACATTTTAACTATCGGACACTTTTACTTATTCTGCATCGCAAGTACTTAAAACTGTTGAATTTTCACAGCTCATAATAAATTATTGACGAAAATAAATTAATTTTGCGATAATATTTGGCTCTAGAAAATGGTTGTCATAGAGTGACTCCTTTCAGATATAAAATGATACCTTGTTGGTTTAGATTAGTACTTATTAATTTGATAACTCGTCGTTTTGTCCAACCCTAATTATGTATTTCTAAAAATTAACAAAGTTCAACAAATGTCAACGCTGAGTATAGGCTTTTGAAATGTCATCCCTTGAATATATAAGACGGGAATAAGAAACACTACCCCTTGAGTATAATAATATAGTTATATATACATCGTTCTCCTAATTGAAATTTGTAAATGACTTTGCAGTCTTATCATTTTTCAAGAGTTCAAATTAAGTTCATAGTACAGATAACTAACATATTATTATACTTCGGATGAAACATTTATTGATGCAAATATACACTTATAATAATATAGTTTTTAGTATATTTTTTTTTTATATACGTTCGTAAGTGAGGGAATTATACTTATTTAAAAATGTGTTTATTATAAAATATATATTTATTAGAACAGTGTTTTCCACTCTATCGTCAGCAAATAAATAAATATTCAAACAATATTGATAAAACGAAAATTTATGTAACACTAAAATTTGTTTATTAGGCACTCATAATTAAATTAAAGTTAACGATGCATTTACCATTATTAATTTCATCGTGTAAATAATTGTTTTGCAGTTCAGACCGAGGCTAGAGAGCGGATTACTTGTACTCCATGGACGTCTAGACTGCCAAAAATGGCACAACCCGATTTGGACTATATAGGTGAGTCTAATAATATTATTTAAACTATTCATAATAATATTATATGGCTGTCCTACTATAATATCTATACCTAATAATTTAAATGAGTAAGGTAATGAATTCTACCCGACATCACAATAAATCAGACCATTATATCTTGTACACTAAATATCCTAACAGCTAACCTAACCTATAGAGGGTGATGTAAGCGTGCTAACTACTAACCCTATTTTTATAATTAAATTATACATAAGTATAATATTATTCAAATTCTGCTTTTTGGAATTTTTAAACACACTTGGGGACCATATTTTCAAATACTTGAGATATTTTGTACCACTCAAGTATGATCCTGTAACAATACAAACTCTGATTTTCAAATAGAATCCCCCCTTTTAATTTTCAATTTTTCAGTAGGTATTTTTTTGAAAATGTTGATGTACTTAAATCAAAATTTGATCAAGTCATTTTTGATGTATATAACTTTGTATACCAAGGATCATATGTTTATAGCAATGAGCAGTGGTCGAAGTGGTGGAATACGGTGGGATGACATCCCTCCACTTTTTATAATTTACATTTTCCAAGTCTCCACTTTTTTCGTCCAAAATAATGTATCCCCCTTATAATTAATTTCATATATGAAAACTGTATAAAATATGAAAGGCGTCCCTCCACGTATTTTGAGACACTTCGACCACTGGCAATGGGATAAGTAGATATGGGGGCTTAGATGATTTGAAAATGTTATTAATTACTATTTATCTATCAATATAAATAATTTGTAAGAATTATCCAAATATAATAAATACTACATCTAATATTACATATGTAGGTAATATTAAATAAAGAGGAAAAGTTTGTTTGTTTGTAACAAATTAACTCAAAAACTACCTGACCGATTTAGAAAATTCTTTCACCAATAGAAAGCTACATTCATGGGAAGTTTTAAAGGCATACAATTAAATCATAAAGTCCATAGTTTGAGGTGCTCAAACGGGGATTTTGAGATTTACGTTGGACATTTTTGTTTATAAATGGTTGCTTACTACTTGATATTCAGTTGCACATTGTACACGATCCAACATAGACAGTTTGCCTACCAGGGTGTCTGAGTTACACTTACTGCAACGAGTTACACTCAAAAAGATTTGAACAATCACAATTTTTTAAGGGCAGAGTGCGCGGGATCAGCTAGTAGTTTATAATTTTGTAAAATTATTTTTAAAGATTATTAATATAATAAATTAATAATATAATTAATTATATATTATAATAAATCAGAAACTACTCATTAGAATTTTGATCATAGTACATAAAAAATATCAAGAAAATCATTCGGAGTAAAAAAGGAGGGTTTTTGTTTGAAAAATAGAATTTTGTATAACAACTCCTTAATAGTAGTACCAAAAATATTAGAAATTTTAGAATATGGACTTATAATTTATAAATTCTAAAAATCAGAATTTGAATAAATTTATTATCATTGGGAAAAAAGTGGATGAGCATGGTTAGAAAATTCCTCTGTATACTATATTTATAAAACCAATTTGTGTTTTACGCTAATTTAAAAATGTTTGTTTTCAGCTCCAGAAGTCCAGTTGTCTTCATATTGTAGTTCTCACAGCGATATGTTCTCATTGGGAATGGTAATATTCGCGATATTCAATAACGGTCGGCCACTGATCCAAGCGAACCACAGCAGCTCAACGTACATGAAACAATTAGATGTGGTGAGTTGTAATTGAAAATTTAAATGACAATGGGGATAATTGGTATGACGGAAACCAATTAGGATTACGATTTGATAGCAATATCGACAAATCAGTTTTAAAACAATATTTCACAGTTTTTAATGACCAAACAATTTTCTTCTGGTATAACAAAAATATTTATGTAATTATTTACATCCAAAATATCGGTAAATACTGACAAATTTTCTAAAGAAAATCCTTTTTTTACTTATGGCAAATAAATGCTTTGAATTAATATAACACGCTACTTATCAAAAATCAATTATAAACATACAGATTTGTTTCGAAACTGATATTTTTTAAACCAAACATTATATAGTTTGTACAAGCAAAATAAATTAAAAAACATTTTGATATATTATATTCGTCTCATTGATATCAATACTAGGCTACACAGGTTAGTGCACAATTATTATTGTATGGCCTGAAATCAAGGTGTATAAAATAACAATAAATAAAACTAGTATCATAAATCATTCAGATGTAAAATAAAATATATGCAACATTTTTGGCAACCTAAACTTATATTAACATAATATATAATACATTTACCGACTAAGATTCTCGATGGGTCGCGGAGGGTTGCATAATTCAACAGATAATCATGAAGAGAAAAATACGTTTTATTATTACTTATAATAATTTGTGTTTGATAATCATTGAAGGGTACAATAATAAATTAATAAAATAATGTCAATTCCAAATTTAATTAAACGCAAATTTTTTTTTGAATCAAGGCTGGATGGTAAAATTTACGTAGTCAATATTCTCAAAAAGCTTTTAAGCTTATTTATAATAACAAAAAAACCTTTTATTGACCTTAATTAAAAATGAAAAGTTTTAGAGTTTTAAAACCATGATATTTCGTAATAAAAACTTGTTAAAATAAATCAATATATATTTCAAAGTTTTATCGTTGCCTCTTGAATAAACATAAACTCAGTGTTTTTTTTTAATATGGTCTACTTTTCAAGATCGTTTACTTCCCTCATTTAAATTTCAATTTCACTCAGCTTTTACTTCTTAGTATAATTATGCGGAGAGTTTTCTGGTAACTGATGTATAAAACCATTGGCACTTTGCCACCCAGTGTATTAAGAATTACATCAACCAGGATTTTGGTAATTAAGTATTATCTTCTTATTGTACACAGTGATGTCAATCTCACTTTGGTTGTAGTGTTATAATTGATATTATTAATTATAACCATTTATTCTATTTTGGTTCTTTGGTTAAAATTTACGAGACATTAAATGTTGACACATTGTTTATTAACTTAAATTGTATGAATAACCGTGTTTCGGTTATTGTAAGGTTTCCCTGAATTTATCTCAAAGGCCAAAATAAAAGTCTAATACTTAATTACTACACAGTTTGACTTTAAAAAAAAAACATTAAAAAAGCTATGCAATTACCTATGATAATATGCATATTTTAATCGACTACGTTGAACGATGCCCTCGCTGTTCCACAGAACTAATTATTATTATTTTGATATTATAATGTAATACATTTAAAATCATATTCTATGTAGACCATAAATTACATTAACCTATAATAGTTGGTATAATGCTTTTGGGATTTTATTTTGTGTTGAGAGTACTATGGTGTCATATTATATTATCTATTTTTTATTAAAAAATAACAGCTCAAAAAATATTGTTTTATAATTAACGCAGGTGATCCAATATTCAAAATTAAAATAATTATATTTATGAAAAGTTTATTTCAGTTAATACAATAAGAAACCCGAAATCATTAGTTTTAATCCACACTAGTTAACAATTTTAAAGTAGACTACTTTACGTATTAAAATATATTATATCGTCTCAAATACAAAATAAAAATAAATAAATCACATTGATAAAAAAATAATATATTCAATAAAATAAATAGAATAAATATTAACATCAAATATAAATAGGGACATAGTCAAGAGCATCGGATTACAGCAATTCGCCAATAGAAAATATGATTAGTTAATCATAGTTAGATACTACTAAATAAGTACTTTACATAAAATTACTATTGTATTTTAAATAAAAATATAAAAATATTCATAATTTTATATTATTATAATAATAATTTAACTGAAGTAGACTTTTTTACCACCGCTCAACAGCTTAGAGAAAGTTGTGAGAATGGGTAGAAAAAAATAATTTAAAAATGTTGACCTTGCAGTTATCTTAGTGAAGTATAATATTACAGTACAGTAAGTTTTCAGGATTTCATTTTTTTTTTATGAGTCGAAACATACACAATAAAACTGACTTATAATAATCTTATTATAAATATTAAAATGTTCAATCGATTATTCGTAATCAATAAATATCACATCAACTTTATAATATTTTCCTGAAATGTGTGCATCTAATTTATATTACACTATATTATACTGTAGCAGCGTAGTAGCCCGCATGAATTAAAAACCTATTTCAGCACATGTTTTTACTGAAAATCAAGAATATATTATTTTAAATGTACATAAGTGTGTATTATTCATATTGTATATATTTATGCTTTTTTTTAGTTAGAAAATCAAATTCACAATGTATTGCCCAAACTCCCGCCACAGTTACAAGAAATGGCGACCAAAATGCTGAGCAAGGACGTGGATGCGAGACCGTTCGTCAAAAATTTATTACATACTCCTTATTTCTGGTAAAATACTATTAATATATTATTTAACCTTATCAATAATAATATAATAGTTACAACGAGATAGTGTAATACTTTAATTTAATTATGTTGTTGAAACGGTTTTTGTAGTGAATGGGTACATTTAGAATTACATCTCAAAATGAGTTCATAAAACAATTGAATAAAGGTTATCTGTTTTTTAAAAGTAACAGAACAAAAAACCTGTTACAAAAATAAAAATGATTGTATTGTAGACTGTACTGGTATATTATATTTGTCTCTTCACATCAAGCTTAAGTTTTTCTCAGCGAAATCACCATGTTTGACCGATAATTCTCAAAAATCTTTGTATTGATATAAAAATAAAAATTCCATCAATTAAACATTATATCTAATATTATATGTTATTTTAATTAATGTAATTTCTATATTATGTCATATTATAATACATTGGATGTCTCATTATGTCAATTGATAGTAATTTTAAGAATTAATTAGTTATTAATAGTTTAATAGTTGTCTTTGCGGAACACGTCATAACAAAATGTAACACATAATAATAAATTATGGAAAAGATCAAATACATTGTGTACCTACCTATTATACATATATATATATATATATTTCTGTTACCGTTTTCTGTTACTATCAAAATAAATTACAAAACTAAACAGACAAAATATGTAGTATGTACTTAAACTTAGTACGTGCCGAACCACTCTGCCATGTACCACATGTCAGACGCTGCCTCTGTGTGATGAATGACAGACGAAAAAACCTCCGACGGTATTGGTCGTACACGTCGAAATTAACCTACCACGTTAGACGCACTAGCCTTTTGTGGTAGGTTCATTTCGACATTTACGAGCAATACAGGCCTAGGTTCTTGCGTCCGGCATTCATCACACTGAGGCAGCGTCCGGCACGTGGTACATTGCAGCTTGGTCCAGCACGTGGTACATGGTGGTAAGGTCCGGCATGTGGTATACGGCGGTAAAGTCCAGCGTATGGTACAAGGTGGCTGAGTAATCCGACAAGTCACGCATGGCGGTGGCGTCCGGTGGGTCGGCCACGGAGGCATAGTGTGTCGGGGCGGACATTGCGTAGGGCAGTTCGTCGACGACGATGGGCGGTAACCGGTTACCTTCGGATAGCTGATGTGTGGTGGACGGTATCCGTTTACCTTCGGAACGTCGATGTACGGTGGACGGTGTCCGGTTACCTGCGAACCGACGACGTGCGGATGAGGATATTCGGATACATGTGAACAGTCACAGATCGGCGGTGGCGATGATGACTTAACTTTTTGATCGGCGGCCATATTATATTCCAGTTTTCTCAACTGTAGTTGCAATTCTTTTTTGGACTTCAACGGATCCGATATTGTAACCGAATACATTTTCACTCAAAAAAATTGACTTAAATCGAAAATAACAAATCGGATGGTCGGAAAATAATGTGTAATAATGTTTACTCGGAATCCCGTTGACAACCGTTGCTGACGAAAATGTTTAACCATATTTAATTTTTGTTTATATTTTGTTTATAGCCATTATTCGTGGCAATAATATTGTTATAAAATTAAATCGTTTAAAAAATACGAAACCTAAAAATGCTACTCTAAACCCGACTTTTTCCGGGAGAAAATTAACAATATCACACAATAAGGTGCTCCGCGATGTACTTCGTACATCGATGAATGTACTGAAGTTCACATGCAATTCACGGTGTCGCTGTGCCTCGCTTTGTGCACAAATCCAATCGAGATGAGCAATCCGCCTACGCTTGGAGTGTTTCGGTTTAATTGCATTAAATTCGCAAGAGTAAATCGGTTTAGATTCTAAACTCAAGAATAATAAACGAACAGAATGCTATTTTTAAAAAGAGACTTATACTGGCCTCCGACATCCAAGATAAAATTAAAACCATTGTTGCCGGATATTTGTTTATTTCTGTTTATTTCTTGGCTACATAACAATCGAGAAATAAAAAGTATTACTTCGTGTTTCAAGTACGGTATTAATTTTATTGTGTGAACCACGCTGTAAATAGGAGTTGAATTTCGAAATAAAAAGATGCAAAAAACACTTCACAAGTCCCATCAAATATATTGATTTAACTTGATTGCAAGTAGTCCAGTAGTTTCGATTACAAGCGGTCGCGAACCAAATTAAGTTACATTTGCATATATTTAGATTTTATCAAGACCTTGTTTTAAGTATGCATTCAATTATGCACTAAGGAAAGCAAATAATATGCACTCAAAAAGCAAACAATATTATGGACTACTTAATACTTACTCTTGATAAATAGTAATGTAAATAATATTATTTTTTTAAACAAAATATTTTAATAGCCATATTTAAAAGCCGTAAGTAGGTAACCACTCAGATACACAGTTATAAGTGTAGAGTGTCCGTCGTTCAATGATTAGGAACTGTAATGGATGCATTAAATTTGAATTAAACGATAAATCTGCATTGTATACGATGCAAAAGCATTCTGAGCGGTGATAGTTGAACTTTTTTTGACACCGATAATTACCAAACAATTGTTTTAATAATAATATTAAATTAATAACAAGACAAACTCTTAATGTTTTTTTTTGGTTCTTACCAATTATTTCAATATCTAGGTTCCTAGTTTCCTACTAGGAAATTTCAAATTTTAACTTCCCCAAAGAAAAAACTAGATCCAATTTAATACCAGACACCCCCATCAAAGTTAATGATCAGAGCATTTTTCTACTAGATAGAGTTTTCGGGCACAAAAACATAAATATTAAAAATAACTCATCCCATTATTGTAAAACCAATAGGTAATAAAATTCATGACTCAGCTCAAAATCTAAATAAATATGATACAATAAAATTATTATTTTTTAGGATATCTACCTACTTCGTAGTTCGTAAAATCAAGAATTTTAAAAACAAATGAGTTTAAATTACTAATATAAGTATAATAACCATTTATAAAAATGAAGAAGTCGATTTCATTTTTCTTCTTCAAAAAAAACTAATAGGTACTTACAACCATCATGTTTAAATATTAAGCCAGTCACATACGTATCAAATAATTGATATATATTATAAAATGTGACAATGAATTTTCAAATTAGTTTAACATTTAAAACTATTAGTTACATAACTACTCAAAATCACAAGTAAAATAGATAGATGATTTTAAGTTAGAAATTCTATTTAAAGTATATAAGACGTACAATATTACTAACCCACCTGACATTGTAAATGCATAGTATTTTAAGTGGTATACCGTAATATTATATTACTACCTATGTAATTATAGTAGGTATACCTTTAATGTCAAAATTAAAATAATGAAACGACAACTTGTAGTAGGTATACAATACGAATAATTAAGGTGTATCTTATGTTGATGATGGAATAATTAAGAATAATTATTAATATTTTGTTTTTTTTTTTTTTTGAGATACAACTGTGAATATTTATTTTCAAGTTGCAATACTCGTATATTCTAATATCAAACAAGGTTACGGCATTAAGAAAAATTTAATTACGATTTAATCCTGAGATTGTTTTAAACTCCCTTACAATTATAAATGCATAATTATTTTTGTTTTAATAAGTTTCTGGAAATTAGACTTTCACGAATTTCCTAAATATAATTTAAAACGGTAATCACCATATTATACGTGTCTTTTGGTATTTCCAATTATTATAACTATAGAATTTATAATATCAGTTTATAGGTACAAAGTTATTTTGAATCTTATATTGTGTTTTAATTATTTGAACTAAATTAAGAATTATTTTAATTCGACGTCGTTTTATAGAATAAATAAAACCTTATATAATTTGTATACGTATACTTTCAAAATTTAAAACTATTTTTTTTTCTAATCGATACGTATTACAGTAACAGATTGCAGTAATATAGTTACAATATATTAGGTTACCGATATTCCGTAAATAATAATATGTTTAGTTTAATGTATCTTATACACTGTGCACTAAGATTACTTAGAGACAATCACGAGCATAGGTATCATTATGTATATAAAAAAAAAACAATTTTTTGAGAAAGAGTAAAGATGACCTTTTGACACAGTTTTAAAGAGTTAAGGACGGTAAAATTTAAACGGACCATTGAAGTAAACGGTAGCGTCCCTTTTAAAATTACTGTTGAAATACCTGGTCCTATATGAAAGTCCTCGGCTAATCTAAAAGTACCAAACGACCCAACTTAGTGAGGGATCAATAAACGCATTCCTTATTCCACTGCAAGTAATTCACAATGATTGTTCTTTTTTTCTTAAACTATTTATTAAAATCGACCATACCAAGTTATTTTTATCTGTAAATTCAATAATAAATACGAATATAATAAACATAATATTATAATGACGTTTATCTATTTATTACAAAATCGTACATAACATTGTCATGTTGTGTTATAACAATATATATAGTTCGAGTTTCACGAAGGAAAAAACCGTGTTTTTTTTTACTATTATTGTGATATTGCTAATGGAGTTCGGAGTCGCTTGCACATTACTTTCTCAAGTAAAAACTGTTCAAAACTACAGATTCTAAAAATGTATACTTTTTCCCCTTGTTCCTCGTTTCATTTAATTTATTTAGATTTTGATACTATTGTAGTCACATAATATTGTGAATCATTCTTTTTAGAATAATGGATGAAAAACTTAATTTACCACAAAGGAAAAATCATAAAACACAAAAAAAAAGAAGAAAAAAGAGGGACCTGTACTTAGACAAAAAAAATAAATCTTGTTGGTTTTAAAATGTTAATTCTTTATCCCAAATTAAATAATTACATCTTACTTTAATGTTATATAAAGTACCTCTTTGCGATATTATTTTAGATTCTAATTGGAGTGAGTAATGTATTAGATTTACAACAATAATATTGTAGTTGTTTTTTTTTCAATAATGAGTTCAACCTACCAAAATAAGAAACTAGAAATAATATAAATGTAAAACACTTTATACACTTAATACAAACTTAAAACTACCCAACTATATTCTTAAGAATAGATGTTGATTCATTCGTAAAATATCAAAATTATATTTTTCGTATCCTATGATTTACCCTGAATTCATATCCAATAATACATCTGTTACGGCGAAGTATTTTCAATTACTCTCGAAACGCACTAAGCAGAGAAAGTTTCTCAATTCTTATAGTTGTTTTCCTTTATATTTAAATAAAAAAAAATACATTTGAAATATAATATTGGTTCTGACTGCAGCATGTATTCATATTTGATCTCTGTGGAAAAAATCTGAATGAAAAATCACAACATAAAACAACAGCCAATATTATAGCTACAAATACTGCTGGTGTAATTATTTGTGAAGCACTGCATCCATTTTCGTCTATCGTCTCACCATTTATAAGCGTAGACAGTTTTTGAATAAAGGTTCTATGGACTATTTTAATTTTAAATGTAAATGACTTACACTTAGGTTCCTTTATCGTATAAATCATGTTTAAACGATATTGTATAAAATTATAAGTCAGTGACAATAGTTGATTATTTCGTTATTTTAATATTATCATTTATTTGAATAATACACTTCATACTATATGAATGTTGCAGGGTGATTTACCAATATAATATTGTATTATTAAACAATGCAATTATTCACAATCAGCCGAATTAATCTTTTATTTGTAGCATTAATAATAGAGCATAATATAACTTAAGTTATGATCCGTAACTTTGAGTATTACATTTACGATATTTAAATTTTTTTTATGTGAGCATTTTTAATATTTCACATAAATAGACCTACTCTTAACTTACATACAAATTAACATATCGTTAATGTACAAACACAAATAATCGTCTTGTCGTTGTTTTCCTGTTAAATTTGATAAGTACTAGGAAGTTTTTTTATTTTTAAATTCTAAAATTGATAATAACTAGATCCGATTTGTTGCTTGAAATCATCCTCAAAGTTTAAAGACGAAAATTAAAACATTTTTACAGCTCCAAAACGTGATGAAAATTAATGACACGCAATATCATTCTAAAGCCAATTCGTTCGGCGCTCAGCTCAGAATCATAAAAAAGTTTGGTTGTTTGAATAACCATAAGCCACTCATTAAATGGTATTAAAAATCTTAATTATTTTAAAATACGTTCTTTAAGTGTACTTAAATATTCAAAAATTCAGAATTTTAATAAAAGCTGCATAATTATAACAGAAAAACTAGGTTAAGCGTTGTGAATCAACTTGTTTGTAACGTTTTAAGACAAATAATAAAGTATTTTACTTGGAGTTTAAGACAAACAATGTAGTGAAGTAGGTACGTATGAAGTTGTTCGTACAAAAAGCGTGGAATATAAATATTTTTACATGTGCCTATTAAATAATATTACCCTTCCGTGTTTAAATAAATAATAATTAATAAGTAATAACAAATATATTCTATATTTTACAGCGATCGTTTTGTGGAAACTATTCAGACATTGGATATCATAAATATGAAAGATCTAATACAGAAATGTCAGTTCTACAAGATAACGCTGAAAGAGTCATTACCATTCATTCCAAAGGTATGTTCTACGACAGGTCTATTACGTAAAAGTATAATATAGTATAAACTATAATATTATGATTAGTAAGATTGTCAGACACGTGTTCTAACTTCTAAACAAAATGATGTTCTAATTTATGTAGGTATGGCACGTGCAGTTTTTATCGTGAATCTGCTGCCGGTGTATAACTTAATAGGTAGCTCTGAAACTTGAAATAGTTTGAATTTAAGGGATATTATATGATATAATTATTAACAGACAGAATAGTTATGTTAAATAATATACAATTCCCAGTTGTACCTACCTATACACATATTAGATGGACATTTATCCTGTAATTATTTGTAAAATAAATAAATAACAACAACACAACTGTTAATATAATATTATAATCCCATCATCAAATGTTCGATGAAACCTACCATGGACACACCTAAATAATTGTTGATAATGTATAACACTATAATATTATATTTATAGTTTTTTCTAGCAGTTAATACTGCTGTACCTCGAAAATACTATACAAAACTAAAAAAACAAAAAATAATGAAAAATTAAAAGTGTGTGGTATAATATGTCAAGTTTAAGAGCGCCACACACTTTTAAATTTTTCATTATTTTTTTGTTTTTTTAGAAAAGTGTGTTTTTTAAAAAAAAATTTTTTAATTTTTTATTTTCTACTTTTTAGTTAAAACAAATTTTTTTACGGATTATTGTATTGTCATCCAAGACCAAGGTCTATACAAATTTTCAGAATTTTTCATCTTCAAAAAGTGCCTCAAATCGAGCGCGCAAGATTTGATCACAGACAGACGTGTAACCAAACTTAAGAAAAGTGTTAAAAAATAGGTATTTTTGTTTTAGAAATGTATTTTAATTATCTATCTTAAATTTTACAAGTTTCGTAATAGCTATAATAATTTTATCTCTTCCTGTACAAAGCAGCTGGGTAGCATATTTTTTCATAATATAGAAATAATTATCAATTAATTTTAGTTTTAAATTTCCAAGAAAACCACATCCCTAGAAATGCTAATTATATCATATTTGTACCGAATCAGTAATAGTTTATTAGACAGACAAGACAGTTTATCAATTAAATTATCCAAATAAATTGACTATGTCTTTTAAGATTACCTTCTGCATATAAGGTATATCCACCTATAATAATAGTATCTGAACAGTATCGACAAAGTAAAAGGCGATTATTAAACACTTAGTTTAAAAATATGTTCTAAATGTTAAATGCCATTCATTTGCGTGATAATCTTAGTTATTATTGTTATTACTTTGTTTTTTTTTAGCATTTAAATCCGATTTTGGATTTTGCTCGTATCTTTGCAAGGTATATTATATACATTTAAAATGTCATATCAGTGGTGTATTTAGATTTTATTGGTACTAATCACGACTTATAATAGTCTATCGTAGTATCGTAGTACTAATGATGTCGTTTTACAATTAAATTCATTATGCTATATTGGCATGCACTTAGGTAAAAAGTAGTATTACACTATTATATAATATTACTGTCCCGACCGGGCTAGCTAAAAGTTTTTTTTTATAAATATATTTGTAAAAAAATTGTTTTGCCATATATTATCTCCTAATTATTAAATAGTAATTTAATATGTGAGCAATGAATGAGCATACTGATTGGGGGTCTATAGGGGTAAGTATACTATTTTGAGGTCTACTAGACGTCGACGATAATATTTACAAAACTTGTAAAGAAAATCTGGTTTCAAAAAGTACCTAACAACTCACGTCCACCGTAATGAGCGTGTGTGTGTGTGTGTGTGTGTGTGTGTGTGTGTGTTGGTGTATGGGTGGGTGGAGGGGTTGTTCGTGATCAATGACGTGAGTGATCGCTACATACCAAGCCTGCAATCGCGGAAAACGCACGTCTCGTGTAGTTTTGTTGTAGTGTTATAGAAATTCGTAACGAAGTTCTTGACTCATCGAATACCTACGCGATTCGAAACGTTTGTCCGAGTTTAGTATTTAGTTATTTTGGAAAACGTGGTTTGATCACGGAAAACGAGAACTCGTGACCCTTCCCACGCGGCCGTTAGTAATCCCTTAGCTGACGACGCTTGCGTGCATTAATAATTTTTCCCGACCGTAATATCGAAGTATATATATATGTATATACCTATATTATATGTAGGTATTGTAATTTTCGTAGGGAAAGAATGTTCTGTTCGTAACACACATCGTTTCACATTCAAACCATCCGAGAGTCGTGGATTATATATTATAATATTATTATCAGGGCTGGTGTTATAATGCACTATAAATCTAATAATTAATAAACATGCAATTATTATGCCGTCTAAAATAATTGAATAATATGCAAGTAAGTCTAATAATTAATATGCAAGTAACTCTAAAATAAATAATATTTTAATTTTCGAAAAAAAAAAATATCAAACACGGTGCTTTAACCATTGTTTCATTACCAGTAAATCTTTAAAATGGCTTTTAAATTAAATGGTATTGGTACTTTTGTACTGCGAGTACTCTATCCGCCGTTCATTTTAAATCTGAAACTATAATAAACATTAATTTACACAACCCTGAAAATACCCAATTGAATAATTTATATTTACCTATTGCAGCATCAGTGTTTTTTTAATGTTGTTCAGTTTGAACGAACGGTGGTATTATCTGTGAGTACCTACGTGTTTATATATTGAAAAGTATCTTTCAATATATCAGTAGTGGTAATTGGTGCATATTTAAAATGTGAAAAATAATCAAGGGTCACATCCTCGTATACTGCTATACTAACAAATTTTGTCATATTGTCCTGTAGTAATAGGTGACTATGTATATAAACAAAATAATAGTCATATATTGTAGAGTAGGACAGGGAAGCAAATGTGTTGATGCAGCTAAATTTTAAAGTGCGTATACGACAGTCCTCTTCAATGTTGTAAACACATTTTGATCTTGGTATAGGTATGTGTACAATAAACTATTTCATCTGAATATTATCCTATTTTTAATTACAGACAACTCCAGCAAGGATGGTTTATTTTAGATAGTCGTTTTTTATTTTGGACAATTTTAATTGGAACATTTTTTTTTATTGCGAGCTGTTTCGCCCCGGACATTTTTACCTAGATTCTGTACTGATATTTGCGGGATATTATTTTCAAATCAGCCACTAAATCGTCGACGCTGCAGTCTGCAAAACGTGAACGAACAATATTTTATTATTATTATTATTATTATTATTATTATTATTATTATTATTATTATTATTATTATTATCACGCTTGGTAACAATAATACTATGTAGGCAGGTACGATATTTTTAAAACGGTTTTCCACTTCTTCCCTGGTGGTGACCTGGACAGGGAAGGTGCAGTGATGATATTGTTATTATACTCATCCAAGTCGGCCATCTCCACGGCTATACGCTATATCGTGTATTTTGCGATATTATACTATTATTAAGTTGTTTCGCTGAGACGTGGTTAAAAGCAGAAGAGCAGACTACACGGTCACAGCTGCGACTTCGTCCGGCCGATTGCGTGTGCACAGTGCGTGTTGGCTGTCTGGAGAGAATTACAGCAACGACTATCCGCCCGGAACAAACTGACAAAATATAAAAACGTCAGACGCCACGCGCACAAACGCTGCGTCTGTAATATTCGAGTACACGACACTGCTCACAACATAATAATAATATTAGTTCACGCTTAGCAAGCCTGGGCGAGTTGGCGATCATTAATTCTAACTAGTCAAATTTGGAATATTTAAAAAAAAATAATAATAACCGTTTATGGTATAGGTAGGTACCTAAGAAATGTAGTAACTTTGTTAGATTTCGAGGTAAACGATTAAAAGTATATTTTGTTTTAAAACACCGACTAAGTTCACAAAGAGTTAGAAAAAAAAGTTATATTTACTGTAAAAAAATACATTGCAATTTATATTCGATGGCGTAGCAAATGTGATAGTGACATTTTTTGAACGTTGTTAATATTTAATTACACTGCACTTAAAAGTTTTTTGTGAATTTCAATTTACCCGATAACGTCGTAGTTGTTACAAGATTTTGTTATGAAAAAACTTAAAAGTTATGGATTTCCTGTACATATTTACAAATGTATTCTGAGCTTTTAATATATGATTATCATTGTATAAAGAAAAACGATTCTAGCGAGACGTATGTTAGTCTATTAAGACAAATTATTACATATCTATGGTATTAAAAAAAAATTGACCTAAAATAAATTCCAAATTAATCATATCACAATATCCATTAGGTACTTATAACACGTTATACACCAACAACAAACCCTGATACTATCATATATATATAATAGTACACTTTAGAAGTTTCAAGTAGGTACCCACGAATAATATTATATAATCACAACAAAATAACTAGGTTTTTTAATATGTAATTTCGTCCAAATTTGAACATAAAATGACTATAAAAATAAACTGTGATTGTATATTTTTTAGATTTTTCGGTAAGAGAATTAACTACTTACGTGGAATCTTGTTTTAAATTTTCAATCCTTAGCTATAAAAACTGAACATTTTATAATTTATTAATTACGATGATTAATAATTTTCGAGATTTTGAAAAATTCTGTCAAAATTCGATGTTAAAATGCTTATAAAAAAAAATTGTGCCTATGTATTTTTAATATTTTTCAACTGATATTGTAACAATATATCAGGAGCCTTGTATTAAATTTTTACACTTTTTGGCCCAACAGATAAAACTTAATTGATATTTATAGAAAAAAAAACTAAAAAATTGAAAACTGAAAATGTCCGTAAACGGCTCAAAAGAGTCAAAATATTTTCAAAATTGTATGGTGTATAGGAAATGCTAATATAAACATTCAGTGAAATTTTCATGTATTTACAGTAATTCGTTTTTTAATTACAACAAAAAAAGGAAATTGCCACATGAGAATCGAGTGAATATCCAATGTTGTAAAAATTTGAATTTCAAACGCTCATAAAAATTTAATTTGACTTTCCGGTAG